CTACTGGATGGATTGGGCGAAAATTTGGCATGATGATAGCTCACATTCCCGATTAACATTTAGGCATAGGCCCCTATTCTTATTTCAAAAATCCTGTCGGGCTCCGCCCCAGTGGCTCTGTAGTTCCCCAATCCCCACGTTAACCTTATGAGTATTCATAATTAAAGGGAATTAAAGAATTTAATCACCTGTTTCAAAGTTGGTTCTGTAATATGCAATAGCATTAAAAAGTTATAAGGTTTCCCAACAGGGTGCAGCACTATTATTTTGTTTGTGCATATATGACAACAGCTAATTTGAACCAAGCAGTAGCAAAAAGCTGCGATACACAATGAGAACTTTCAAAGTAGGATTGTTTACAGTTAAGAATAAGAATAAGAATATATTTATTTCCAAAATTACAAATTACAAAAATTACAATCGTGGCTGTAAAGCAAAGTACAAAGGAAAAAAATCCCCACAAAGACTGTACATCTGCGTGTGGGGAGAGTCTTCTCCGTCGCTCACCACTTCACAGACAAGATAACAAAATAAACAAATAATTATTTAAATAAAAAGAAGTATTTTTTTGCCATATTGTTGGCAAAAAAGACTGAACATGAACAATATTTGAAGTACTTGAATGAGGGTGCCAGCACTGAAGTAGTTTGGTTTATTAGCCTAATTTAGTTTTAGAATCGTCATCGACTTTCATTATGTTCTGTACTGGGATCTGATGAGGTCTTCGGCAGCATCATCGCTCAGACCGAGAAGCCAGCGCCCGATCTTTCTGCTGAAAACCGTGACACTGTCTCCCTCCCATTCTCTTATCTGTATAGGGAGATTAGTGCGTATAATGTGGGCTAGATAGTGAGGGGTAAGAAGCTGTGCTTTATTGTTCAATTTGGGAACGGAGATGCCTATATGTGTTCTAGATCTAGTGTCATAAGAATGTAGCGAATCGGAGAAAATTTTGCTTTTGTTATTTTTTGAAAAGGTTATAACTGTTTTTAGGAATAGTTTCCTGATGTTAAGGACTGGAAAATTTTGAAAAAGTAGGTAGGTGGGGTATCTTTGGTCTTTTTTTAGTATGTGTTTGATTATGGATTTCTGGGTAACAGCAAGAGGAGCCAAGACAGAGGCAGACGCAGCCCCCCACGCAAGTATCCCGTACTGTAACAGTGACTGGACATACGCAAAGTATACACACCTGCAATGGTCCACAGACAGCACACAACCAAGCTGTGAAAAAGCGAAGATCATTTTTCTTAATCTGTTGTTGAGGTAATCAACATGTGGAGCCCAGCTAAGTTTGTAGTCAATTATGACCCCAAGGTATTTGTAATTTTCGACTTGCTCAATGATTTCACAATGGCACGGCGCTGTCCATGGACCCCCGCAGCCGTGCAACCTGAGTACTCTATGGCCCGGACCACTGTCGCATCTAAAGTAAATGGGCAGACATTTGGACTTGGACACATTTAAGGATAGTATGTTGTGGTCAAACCATAGTTTGAGCTTGCCCAAGTCGGAGGACGCCCTGTCATATACGGCGTCCCAATTAGGTCCGGAGGAGACTAGAGCCGTATCGTCAGCAAACAGGAACACCTTACCATTAATTGACAGATTTGAGATATTATTAATGTATATTAAAAATAAAAGAGGGCCAAGCGTGCTTCCTTGGACGACTCCATAGTTAATGTCCGTGTTGTCACCTTTGACTCCACGTATTGCTACAAACTGTTTTCGACTGTAAAAATAGTTTTCAAACCAAGTTAAGGAAGTATCTTTGACACCTAGTAAGTTTAGCTTTCTGAGTAATAAATTCCTATCGATAGAATCAAACGCTTTAGCAAGATCCAGGAATGTTATCATAACTTTATTTTTTTTACTGATTTCTTGGGTAATAAATGTTGTGAGATCAAAGAGTGCATCCGATGTGTTTAATCCTTTTCGGAAGCCGTATTGATTTTCTGTAATAATATTCTCTCTCTCCAGATAGTTTAAGAGCTGAATTTTTACCCATTTCTCTAGAATTTTACTTATCACAGGTAACAATGAAATGGGTCTGTAGTTATTTATGACAGATTTTTGCCCAGATTTGTGTATCGGGATAACCTTAGCTAATTTGAAAATATCAGGAAAGTTCCCAGTGCGTATACTTGTGTTTATTAAGTGCCGAATTGGAATATGTAGGCTTGCATTTTCTTTAATAATTCTGACTGGAATGTCGTCCCAGCCTGGAGCTGAACCTCCCTTGATACTATTTATTAAATTGGAAAGCTGGGGCTCATTGACAGGCACCATCTCAAATACAGAATCAACCGCGTGGTCGGCGTCATCCACCTCCGGTCGTCCCGAAGCCGTGATACCCATTGCCAACTCAGATCCCACAGAAGAGAAAAAATTATTAAATGTGTTACAAATGTGTTTTGTTTCTGGGGGGGCGGCAGTGTCAGAGTTAACAACAAACGCCTCAACCGGAAACGGCGCTTTGGCACTTGGTCGGCCAGCCACCTCGTTTACAACTGACCAAAATTTACGAGCGTCACCCGCGGATTCGTCGATTTTGGTTTTGTAATAATTAAACTTTATATTCTTAATTAGGGAATGTAATCTATTGCGATACTGGGTGAATTTATTTCGAAGATACAGGTTGAATGGTTCTTTTTTTAATTGTTTAAAAAGGAGATCCCGCTTTCTTATTGAAGTAATAAGACCACTAGTTATCCAAGGTTTGATTTTTGTATTTTTAGCGTTAATTTTAATATTTAATGATGCGTTTTCAATCACCCTGCCAATTTTTTTTGTAATTTGCTCGGCGCAAAAATTCACGTCTTCACTTGCTAGTACTTCTTGCCAGCTTTCAGTTGTTAAAAGGTTATTGACAATTTTCCAGTCGGTCTTTTTGTAAAAAGAAGCTTCCATTTTATTATTATTGTAGTGTCGCTGCTTAGATATTTGTAGTGCTATGGGGTAATGATCAGTTAAACTTGACTGAAGGATTGCTGATTTAGTAAGGATTTTATTAGCAATTTTGACGAAAAAATGGTCAATGCAGGTATTACTAGCAGGTCGTGTTATTGAGTTGATGCAAGGTATAAATCCGTATCCATACATTTCGTCTAAGAAGCGCTCTTCTAAACTATTTTGCCCAGGTGCCAAAATGTTGCAATTTGTATCACCAACTAAAACACGAATGCCTCGGAAATCTCGGCTTAAGTAATAATGCTCAGAAACACCATTGATGAAGTGCTCAAGACTAGAGCTCGGACTCCGATATACGGCTAATATTTCACATGGATTGCCGGCCAAGTCGAAGGTCACTGATAAGGCAGTGGCGACTCCTCCGAGCGACAACTGACTACAGGATGCTGTAATATTACTATCTAAGTAAATAACAATTCCGTCATTTTGGTTTATACTGTTGTACGAACGATAACAATTGTATCCATCAACGCTACAAAGATCACTATCATCACCTAGCCATGCTTCAGATAGAACAAGACAATTAAATTTAATATCTAACCCTTGTACGAATACTAAGAACTCATCAAAGTTTTTACGATAGCTGCGGATGTTAATGTGAATGATTTTGAATTTTGAATGTCCCACTTCAGTACTGAAGTACCCTCTCACATCTTTCAAGTCTTCAATTACCTTAAAGTTATTATTAATTGAGGCTTCATCAAATAAATCTTTGTTGAGGTTTACCATTTCCTCAAAAATAAAAATAAAAAATAAGTTAGGTTTGAGTTTTTAATTTAATGAATAATTTGTGATATTGTGCGAATGTTTGATTATTTATTTTTTATATTGTTTAGGTGCAATGGTAGAACATTATGGCAATGGTAGATGTGTTATACTATATCATACCGTAAATTTATGAACCAAATTTTATCAAACTGTGTCCTCCCCCCATTGCAAACGCAAAGCTTGAGTATAACTGCAATAAGCATTTTGTACTTATATGCCAACCCCGTACGAAGGATGGATGCTCTGCTAGTCTACGATATATTTCTAAAAATTTTAGCTTAAAGAAGGAATGCTGATAGAAAGAATGCTTTTATGTTTGACTCAAAATGGTGTTAGAAGATTAACACTTGAACGTTCCAAATCTTTTTCTTTTCGCTGAACAAGTAGCATGTAGGACTCTAGCAACAATATAAGACTGTTAGAAAATGTGTAATAGAAAAGCGCAAACCCTGTATAGATAAGTTTATCGGAAATAGCCGTCGCCCCGCCCTACATGTCCCTGCACTCCCTTTTATTGGCATCATATCTTGAATCTCCCCCGTATCACTTTCTTGATATTTTCAAGAATATCTCAAAACACTAACAACCAAAATGTTAAAGAATAAAAAGTTCGAGATAAAAACATATTTTTACAACTCTGAGAACGTTGTATATGAGACAATATTCAAAATTAAGATTTATGGGTTATAATTCCAAATTATAAAGTTAAAAAATACAACAACAAATACAAATAATGTACCTTTAATATCTTGAGTCTCCCTAGTATCATCTTCACCGGGTTTTCGGTGACTTGAGAAGATTTTAAATTATGTAAAGCTGTACAATGATATAATTTCAAAATCAAAAGATACTTTCCAAATTTTGGAAATTGGTGCTAAAAGCCATAGTTAATATAGTTATTTTATAAATAATTACTATGGATTTATGTTTACATAAACACAACAATTTTGTTTTATAATAGGCTAAATGCTTACTATTGTCTTGAGGATAGTAGCATCGTTTTACACGTGTAGAAAAATTGGTTTTTAATGGGTTCATCAAATTTCTTGAATCGTCATTCAAATATAATTATCTATTTATGATAGCAATTACAAAATAACTAAGAATACAATGATTAATGGACATTTAGAATAATACATTTGTCTCAATAGTTAATGATAATACATTTACGGCCTAGTATGACGTTGCAAATAATAGTAAGTTTTCATTAAAACAAAACATTCTACATGATTTTTTTTTATTATCATTTATTTTTTCAGGTTACACAATGGCAGTACAAATCATTCACTTTATTATTTTTGTAAACTTCTGCCTTCAAGTTTCTTTGTGTATACAAACGACGCAAACACCTACACAAACTACTATACGTAAGTAAACCAGGGTTTTAATTGTTTTTGTGTACTCATTAATATTATCAAATTTGAAATTTGATATATATATTTCTTTAAACCTGATGCTTTTGTACATTGATATTGACTTGCAATATCTTACCTAAATCTTAACTTTACATGGACATTTATAAAAAAAATTGTAAGTAAATTCTCACAGACTTATTCATAGGTCAGTGTTTTAACTATTTAGATGTGTTTTTGCATATTTTAGAAATGTAAATAAAGAATTAAGGCTATACATTACATTTTCAGCTTGGTAAATTTAATTTGTTCAAATTCGTAGACGGTATTCGATCAAAAAAGTCAACGACAAAAGAATTTATTTTTTTATTATTTTATTTTACCTTCCAACGGTCAAGAACCAATTTACAATAATATGTTGTATAAGATGACTTAATCTAACTTAAACATATACATACAAAAGTATTTTTGACAAAATGACATGCAGTAAGTTTAGTAAATAATACAATTTCAGCAGTATCAAAATGGACGTACACAAAGCAAAACTTTAAACAACAACCAATGAACAAGAACAAAAACAAGAATAGTAAGTGAAAATATAAATTAACAACAAACAATAAATATATTTAAATTAATTTTTAAAATATTTTATGATGATTCTTGGCAAATATAAACCTGTTTCACCTCCGGTAGATGTTTCTATTAGTGATGTAAATAAAGAACGCAGGCTGTGTATAAATGAAACTGGCTGAATGATTCCGAATAGGAGTATACAATAAGATATCTCTAATAAGTATGCAATAATATCTGGGCTTGAAGTACCAATGGATGAATTGTAGAGTAAGGGAAAATATTAGTTAAAGAAAGTAAAGTTAATGTAAGAGAAAAGGGAATATAATGAGAAATGGTAATGATAAATAGTTCGAAGGACCAGAGGGGTATAATGTCGAGAAAGAGAAATGTTGAGATTAAAGAATATATTATGTGAGTGAGAAAAAATGAACACAATGGTAGTAAGAGAACAAGACACTGTTTTATTTATATTTGAAATACGACATATGTTTTAACAATAAAATAAATAAATAGGATTATAGTACATTTTGCTGGGAAAAGAGTTGTTGAGAGTTTTAACATGAAGTGTTAAATGAATGTTCCAAGTTTACTTTTCACTGGAAACCTAAATACAATTGGTGGATCAAATTTTAAAGATAGTATTTTGTTTGGAAAATGAATAAGAATTCATTTTGTTTTAAATTCTAAGACATTCTTTGACGAATGAAATTGTATACTTGTTTCAGGTCCAAAGGTTGTTCTTATTAGGTTATTCTTTATCCTAGGTTATTAGGTAATTAGGTATTAGGTATTAGGTTTTAGGTGATTAGGTATTAGGTGATTGGGTATTAAGTGATTAGGCATTAAGTGATTAGGTTATTAATTAATTATAAGACTTATTTTGATTACCAAACTGTACATGTTCTCCATCAAAAGGTCGGATCATGAACAAATATATTTGTCAAATATAATATAAACACATGTAATTTCTAACCCGTCCTAGGTCCCACGTTTGCACCTTTGTGTCAGTCCAACAGCGACTGCGCCGCATACTCTGTCTGTGTCCAAGGCCGTTGTCTGTCTCGCATCTGTTCTATGTGTGATGGCAGCGGTTGTCGAGTGGTTGACTGTGGACCCAACGCCGAATGTGACTTTGTTGACCAGCAGCCCAGATGTTCGTGTATTCCTCCCTACGAGTACACTGGCTGTGGTTGTCAATTGGATCGTAAGTTGGCATAATTGTAAAACTTAATACAAATCTACTTTATATGCTTTACCTATAACCATTGACTATTGGATACCAAAGTAGACATCCCATCTATATGGACCAGCTGACGCCAATTCTTTATTAAAAATAACGTAGTTGTGTGAGCCAGTCACAGAATGTGCTAGGGTATAAAATTCTATTTTATACCTTATTTTTTGTTGCTGACCAGGTTGATGAGTCATAAGAGTTGGTATAGCTCCTAAGTTTGACTTGTATTGATAAAAAAGTTGGTGTAGACAGAATTAAGTAATTTAGATCAGCACAATCTATAGGTTCACATCAACTACGACGATGTTTGTAAAAAATCTGGCAACAAACTTAACATGGGAATGGAATGTCTAGTTGTATTAATTGTCAAAGCTATAACCATAGATCCTCATACTCCCTTAGTAGATTTGTCATCATTGTGGATCCAGCTGAAGGCAATTTGATTGTTAGTTCCGTCCGGTGCCGCTAGGATCGTGTTTTTTACGATTAATGTCTTGTTATTTAAGTTCTCGTTAGCTAGACTAATGATCTAATCGCAAACAATATCTCGTCGCTAGTAATATAACCTTAATAATATGACGCATAGAAATGTACAACTCATGAAATTGACCCTTAAATAATAGAAACAATGTTTTGTCAACACTTTTGCCAAGTTTCACCAACATGAAGTAAAACATCAATATTATATATAGACAATAGACAAGTTTATTAGTCATTAATTAATTCACAAGAATTACAATAGACATCGTCAATCTAAACAATAGAAACATTATTTATAAACAACTATAAAATTCAAATCTTTGTTTACAAATTGTAAATTGAAGAAATCACTTAATTTGTACATAGGATTAGATTTACAATAATTGAATTTAGGATACAAAATCACACATCCCACCTGTGACTAGCCGTTGTTTTATACTTTAATATGGTATAGTCAGCTGAGTTTCAATAGGTGAATGAGCCACTCACATAGCACTGATGTAAAAATTCAATTTCCTCTCTTAGTTTTTTGTTCTGATGAATAATGTGCAACATAAATATGATTATAGCTTTTAATCATATTTTAAGTAGTTTTCTTTTCATTCTGGCTTGGTCAAAAGTTAGAATTTTCGCAATAAAGAAATTAATGGAATCTACACACTTAGTAGGTTGCTCAGTTTATCTGGGTCTATTATTATTTTGATGTCTAACTACAATTTAACTTAGTCATAGTCATAGAATGTTTAGTTCTATCAATAGTCAGAAAGGATTACTAGTCAAAAATACAAAGTAATAGGTTGAATATTATTGAAATCTACATAGATTTTTAAGGTGGTATGATTTTTAGTGCATTAGTAGAAATTTAATTGTGATGTTTTAGTTTGAAATATAACAAACCTATTGAGGACTTGTCTAGCACATGGTATCTTTTCAAGAACGAATATCAAATATCAGCTTTCCTGTGACTTCAAGAGTTTCAAAACACAAAAAATACCCTTCAACTGTTTCTTTACTTGAAATTAGCTAACAACCAACTCAGGTTCTTGTATTTGGCATTTAAGTGACGCATAGTACTCTCTCCTATTTTAATTCAAGGAAGAACTCAAGTACATACTTAAAAAAACTGGTGTAAACGTAAAGGGATTTTGCCAAATAGATTCACAGTTAGCTTTGATTAACGAGTAGTTTAAGATTGTAATGGTGCGATCCATACAAATAATGAAATTTTAATAAAGCAACAGTTTGACATCTTTACACATAACTAGTTCTTCATTAAGAAAAAAGTATTTTGATCAACTTATTAATAATGAGTACTATGGAAAATTTGGCACGTTCACATTATGTCTAAAAGCTTCACACATTTTTCTACATAGTTTTTACAATGATACGTTTACTGTTTAGCTCCTGCCCAGAACTGCACCTCGGCCGAAGATTGCCCGATGAAGACAGATTGCATTGATGGCATCTGTATTGACAACTGTTACACACTGTTCTGTGCTGGGGACGCTTTATGCAACACTCATGAGCATGATGCTTATTGTTACTGTCACCATGGGTCATACTATCATCCTAGCTATGGATGCATACTTATAGGTAAGTAACTGGCTGGGTAGCTAGTGGTTAAAGTGCTCGCCTAATAATAAAATACCCCCGCCGCAGCAAACCTGACGCCTAAGCAAATTTCCATTTGGCTGAATTGATTTTCAATTGATCTATTTAAATAACATTAGGTTTAACGAGTACCTAGGTTTGCTGCTACAAGGAAACTAATAAAGTGTGTGTTTTAAGTAAAATAATTATTGCTTAGTATAAAATGAATATATTTGCCAAGTTTGATCAAAAGATATCCATAAACAAGCAAACTACAACATTTTACAATATTCTCCATAAGAATAACATGGGAATTTTAAATTTACCATTTTTTTAGTTTTCTCCGTAACCAATAACCGTACAAAAACACTTTGATATACTGAATTGTTTGTTTTTTTAAGCTCTTTAAGAAGGTTTAGAGAAAAATTGGGAAATTTTGTGTTTTGAGGGTCAAAATTGAGAAAAACCAATTTTTACCCCATAAAACCCCCCATAAAACCCTGTTCCCATGGTCCGATCATGCTGGATCGCGAACTCATTCAAGTTTATCCCGCCTTACACCTTCAAACCAAATTTCATCAAAATCGGATAAAAATTACTCAAGTTATCGTGTTCACGGACACATATATATATATATATATATATATATATATATATATATATATATATATACATATATAAAAATTTGAACGAGTGGTGTTTTTGGCCTCTGGGGACATCAAAATGAAAAAGTAAATCGGTCCCGGGCCTAAGTCTTACCATGAGACCTACGGTAATAGCTACTTCCCTATAGGGAAATTCGCTAACAAGGTTGCCGGTTTGATGAATCAGTTGCTGTTTGATAGCTCGAAACTGGACTCAGCTGTCACTGATCAATATAAATAAATGGGCTTTAAATAAATTAGATCTTAGTCAGTAACAAAGTTAGACAGAACCACTCACACCATTCTACACTCATCCTTCACTCATATTTGAATTTAAATACACACTAGGTGACGCCCAAGATGTTTGGAGTAAAATACGCTGCCCTCTCAATTGATGATTGATGAAAAATCATATCTTAGTCCCTAAAAAGAATCTAAACTTATTCATCATGGTTATAGCTATGGGAGAAAAATAACAAGCTCGATGGAGTGGGATTTTTTCCATCAACAGAATGTCCAGTTTGGAAATAACATTACATTTCTTATACATCAACACTTTAATCAAGTCATACTATTTTGTAATCTATATCATTTATGCATCCCTATTGGCCATCATAGGCATCATATTGTGATGAAAGATAAAAGACAACTTTTATACTAGGACCATTACAGGCTCATTTAACAATGCTTTTAGAAAACTTTCCATGTAGGGAATAAGCTATTATTGAGTTTATTATAGGCCTGTTTATATGGATGTACACTTTATTATTGAAAAAAAAAAATTGTCGTATCAGATGTATACTGGGATGGTAAAATTTAGTCAAGACAAATAATTACGTTACTTAAGCTACTAAGGGATTTCTTTGCTTAAGTTCATGATGATAGTGAGTTTATCCAAGAGAAGATTGTTGACATTTTCCATCAAAGTTATTATATAACTCAGTTTTCATGACAATTTGGGATCCGAAATCTGATTCTGAGTGAGAAAGTATTTAAAAGATTAAAAGACCGGAAAAAATAGCTAAAGCTGAAAAACACAAAATATATAGATACCTATGGTAAATCATTTTTGTCAATATTGTAATTGTTAATGTTGATATAGGTGGATACAAGCTCAAATATTTTTTGTATAAAATAATTAATAGAAATATCAATTATATATTTTTCTATTTCAGAAGAGGAAGAAATAGATGAGGTTTGATTGGTATTGGTCAGAAATGTAAGTATCGTGTTGGTCAACTGAAAATAGTACGCAACATATGGAGTTGTATAGTTTTATAACAAAGAGTAATCTTAAAACTAAGAGTCAATTTATTTTTTGCCAGAAGTAGGAATAGCCTACATATGGGAAAGCAAATGGCGTAAAACATGTACTTTTTATAAATTGAAATAATAATTCTATAACACTGAATTAAGTTAGAAATTTCCTTCAAAATACTGTGCCCCGTACATGAGCTATTACTTTTGTGGTTGTTTAATGCTAGTTCAGTTACCTAAGCTATGTAAACAACCCTTTCTACAAATACCACTCTACTCGTTGTAGGTGATTGTAGTAAAATATACATTGGTTAAGACATTTTCTGCATTCTAAATACCTTTCAATAGATGGTTAAAATTAATATATACAATTTAAAACTAATATTTAAAAACTCAACAAATGTTAAAACATTAAAACAGGACAAACCCATAAAATACAGGGTGATTGATATAAGTGTGCCTTGCGTTTTATTCGAAAACCATAAGAGATATCAAAAAAAGTTAAATGGTAAGTGCCTTGGATTTTTTATTTAAAAAATTTTAGTCAAGTCGAAAAAATATTTTAGCCGCCATTTTTCCAATATGGCCGCCAACTTTGATTTTTCTTATAGAACACCCTGTATTTTATGATGTATTCCGGTAGAAAATGTAATATTAAGACGATTTTATTATTGTGATTTTATTCATAAACCTAACAGTTTCAGAGATAATATATTCGAAAACTATTCGAAATTTCACAACTTAAACCATTATTATCTCTGAAACAATTAGGTTTATGAAAAAAATCACTCGAATAAAATCGTCTTAATATTACATTTTCTACCGGAATACATCATAAAATACAGGGTGTTCTATAAGAAAAATCAAAGTTGGCGGCCATATTGGAAAAATGGCGGCTAAAATATTTTTTTCGACTTTACTACAATTTTTTAAATAAAAAATCCAAGGCACTTACCATTTAACGTTTTTTGATATCTCTTATGGTTTTCGAATAAAACGGCTGGCACACTTATATCAATCACCCTGTGTATAAAACTGAGAAGTGTATTACATGTAATATCTCTAATGACAGTTATTTGGTGTAAGATTTGCTGTACTTTATATAATCAAGGTATACAATACACAGTAAGTGAAGGTTACTCATATTTATGTAATCGTTGAAGAAGCTAAAAATATTTTACAATCGGGCTAGGCCTAATTGAATAAACTGTATTTATTTGATTTCTTCACTTTTCCTTACTCTCATCTAAAGAGGCCACAATTAACTTCTACAGAATGTTTGTAAGGCAAATCAATATTGTCTATGTATATTTTGAGAGAGGTAATACCTGTATTGTATGATACAGGCTTATTGAGAGTTGAAGGAGACTGTTTACGATACGACACGTCGTTAAAAACAAGCTTTTACGAGGCGTGTGACGTTTACGATGACTCCATTAAGGCGCGTGTCGCTGGGAGTGGATATTCTTACTTCATCTTGCCAAGGAGAATTCGAACTTGAAGGTGATTCACAGTAAATCCACGTTATTCTATAAACGTTGCTTTTTTAATTTAATAAGTGTATTCGGCTTATTATCTATATTCAGCTTTAGTCACTAAGGCTCCTCTTTAAATTACCAGCGAGCTGAAATTTTCACATATTATGTGTTTACTAAATACTGCAGTAGAATTACAATATGATGCGGGGAGCGATCGAGTGTAGTTGTAAAACTCGGAACTTTGGTTTCCGAGGTACCGGGCTCAAATCCCGCCAATCACCAATGGATTTTGGACGAAACCTCTAGGCCTAGCCTGGAGTAAACTAAAAAATATCCCTAACTTGTGCCTAGTAAAATAAAACTCATAGATAAAATATACTGTAATGAATTCTTAAACTTTTGTATTATTGAGAAAAATAAATGCACCGTAAACCGTAAACCCATATGCAAAGTCACAGACACATTTAAGAATGGATTATATATTCTAAAGCATATTGCATGTATTGGAGGACTATCTCTTCTAAATCCCCTAAAATATTCTTAACGGTATCGGATCAATCCTACCTTATCCCGATACAACACGTGTATGGATCCATACATGCGGGGACAGCAAGCCTCTTAAAGAATATTGTTCAATATAAATAGAAATGAAACCAAGTTCATTCAACTGTAAATTGAGATTTTGTCATAGGGTCCACGTAAAATTACATGCCACAATAGATTATTGTAGTTTATATGTGTTTACGCATACCTTAGTATACTCATGGTATACTTATAACATACTTATATCAGAAGCACCGAATAGTGTAGAAAAAATGGAAAAGAAAATTATTGAAAATTCTATAACCTAATCACGTTTATATTGAAATGGGTATTCGCAACTAGGAAAACAACGCTATTACTCTACTTGGAGTGAGTATTGTACGTATTTAAACTGCAAATAAGGTGAGCCATAATAAACCTGTACCAAAAAAGAAATTACAAGTGGTTTAAATATTGATAGCAATAGGTGTTTTTGCCAATATATATTATATAAATAAAATTGGAGTTTTGTCTGTACATTGTTCAGAATTATATATTTTTAGGTTATTTTTACGTTTTATACATTAAAGAAGCCGAAACAAGTCTCATCCTAATTTCTGTCTTGTCTGTCTGTCTGTCTGTAACACTCAAGATGACATTTTACGCTATCTTCTCCAGGAAAACGAGAGTACCTATCAAGATCCAAGTCATTTTAATGTATACACTAGATTGGAGAGAGTGTCTTTAGCCATTAAAATATGGCCTCACTACTTTGTAAATAAAATTACGGACGTTCAAAAATGCAGTTTTGTGCGATTTTTGTCAAGTTTTCGTCCAATTTTTTATCACATGGTAATCATCTATGAAATAACGAACAGCTGTTCAGATCAAGATTATTTTTTTCTAACTGTCACTGATATGTTTACAAATATTGTTTACAAATACCGCAACCATTTCTGGTCACGTTTTGAAAGCAAATAATCCCAACCAAGTGAGATTAAAAACGTTTTACTTACATAACGGATTTGATTAATCGAATTATTGATTAATTTGAATTAACAAGTATTTCTTGTCAGATTCAAGATTCAAGATCAGACTGTCGAATGGCAATTACATTAAGTTTTTTATTGTAAAATATCTTAACGATGAATATATTAATGATCAATAGCTAGTTTAACTGATTCTCCAGAAATGGTTTCATAATTAAAAGATTTTTAAAACATACAAGTTAGATTATTCAGGAGAAAACATATATCAGTATGGTAAAGTCAATTGTGTAGTCTTTATATGTTAACTAATAGGTTCACAACAAATTTTCAATTTAAAAACCCCGAACAATGATCTTTGATACTTTAAATTGGTAACGATGATTTATATCTAATCTAACCATATACATTTATAGAATAACAGGATCAGTTGCCAGAAAGGACTGCTATATCAGTGATAAAGGTCCATTCCACCACACAATTGAACTTGGCCAAGTCACCCTAAGCTCTCCCCATCACCGAAACACGAAACACTTATTCAACTTTGATTTTTTAAGTGAATGTCTAGCTACAGCTTTGCTAAAAATACTTAGGATGTGTCTTGAGTATTAAACACAAGCTGTACTTAAAAGCAAGTTTTCATAATTCAATTTTAATTCTTATGCTTAACCGGCCGTTGTCTTTACATTCTTGGTGTTATCTTGTACTTGAGTCCAATCGTTCCCACATGTGGATGCCACATCATAGACGAAACGTCTGGTTTTGTACATGGTGTAAATACCGATTTGACACTGCTTTCACCAGAAGGCCAGTAGTGTATCTAATTTACTTGTTCTGAGTCAATTGTTTAAGTCATGAATTTTTTTACAAAGCATACTTAAATCGTATTTTTTCATTTAGTACTACGAACAATCATATTTCTAAAAACTTTATTTTTCTTAAACTATCCCTCATCAAGTTAAAATACATCAGTAGAGTAGAACATAGCAAAGATTCTCCTCAGATAGTGAATAAATTATAATTCCTGAAGCACTACATGTCAACGAGTAAACATTTCAAAATGGTGCCAAAGGTACATTGAATCTACATAGTTGTGGCCTCCCCATGCTATCGTTACTCTATATGTCGCATTATTCTCACATCGTAACTTTATCTTTCCTTGATCCTTTGAGAATATCTACAACAGTGGAATAAATATGATACTCTAAATGCTCTTCTTATTGTTTTGTGTGCTTTGTACATGAATGTAAAATCGATCAATCGCCTGGGTGGCTAATCTCTATCAAGTTATACTCCATCTTAAGGAAGTGGTAAAGAACCAAAAGAAAGAAGGGATACAATAAAAAACTTCTTGATCAGCATTGTATGTGTAATTAAATTTACGGAAAGTAAATAAAAGAAACGTCTTATAACACTTAAAACATATATTCACGCTTATACTGTTACTTACAAAACGGTAAATGTACAAAAAAGATGGTAAGTGGTGATCGATTTCGATTGGACACTCCAATCATCATCAGACCCAATAAGCGAATGAATGTCATCAAATGGTCTAGGGCTTCTGCATATTTGCGCGATTGCTGGTGAGTGTGTGAACGTGTTTTCTTTTGTCTTTTCTATTTATAATAATTATTGTTATTGCATTTTTGTTTAATCTGTTCTTGATGTGTTAAATATATAGATTTATATTAGATTGAGAAATTCCATTGTATTTTTATTTATTTATATTTAAGTTTGTCAGGTTAAGTGTAAGAGGGCCATGTGGCCCTAACTTTGCCTGGTTAAATAAAGAATGTTTCATCTCCTTTCATGTCACTGAAGCATGTAGTATTTACAAGGAGTTATCAAATTAACATAAATCTAGCTGTGTTAAGGTTCTGCTTACACTGCGAAGTCAATTATTGCATATGTTGTGAGCAGATTTGCCGCTAGGTACTAAGAAGGTTAATTACCATCGTTGCTGCAGGCTTCAAACACAAACAACTTATAAGTTATTGCCGAGTGTTGTAGAGCAGCTGATAATGAAGTTAGGTTATTGTACAACAGCTGATAATGAAGTTACAGGTTTCTGAAAAACAGCTGATAATGAAGTTTCAAGGCCAAATAAATAGTAGATATCTGCTTTGATTTTACAGTGTTTAATAATATGCTTCTTTACAATTTAATCGCGAGAAAAAACTACTTAGGATACAAATATGGTACAA